ATATTTTGACCATGATGACGTCATCGAAATGTGAAAAAGTGTACGTGTATGTAAGAGAATTGACTGAGCTATAACATACTCAAAGTTGGAAGAAAATCGACCAAGAATAAGCGAGATACGCTCAAATGCGCATTTTTTTTAAATGACGACATCGATAATATTCAGTTTGTTGAATTCAGATGGCAATATGATGACGTCATAATGTCCGATCAGCCATTATGACCTATAAAATCATATGTACAACTCATGTGCTTTCAGAATATGTAATAGAAATTGGGGGTCACCTTTCATTCTAAGGAGCTATAATTGATTGAAAATAGGCATGTTTATGGCCTATTTTTGCTATATGTCGAAAAAAACGCGCACATGTGCTTTTATGTTCCATGCGCGCGTACGGCATTGCTATTGACCCTAAATGACCAAAAAATATTGGAAATTTGTGAATACAGTGTCAGGGACCTGAAACATTTAAAAAAACAATATTTTTAACTTCTGTACGTGAAGCGCGTGTAAAAATGCGCACGCGGTGCCGAAAATTTTAAAAATGTTGAAATGCTCAAAATGGCTTAAAACGTGCTCTAATTTAGTCAAAAATTGATTTTGACCATTTTGAAATTTTGACGCATGCGTACGCGGGCGTTATGAAGCGCACGCGCAAAATGAGTGTACATTACAATCAACCTTCACTCGAAGTTAATGCTCACGTAATACGATTTCGAAATGTCAATTGGTTAGGCTGACAGGATATAATCAATTGCGTAAAAAACACAAAAATGCGCGTAGATGACGTCACACGTTTCTGGTAACCTTGCAAAGCTTATTGTCACTATTCCAGGCCAAGCCAAATGTTTTGTTGTAGTCGTTTTGTGCGTAGCTCTCGGCAAATTGGAGATATCGTGTGAACAGTTATTTGTCAGAATGTAGAATAAAAAAAAAAAGATCTCGTACAATAACAATAGGTGATCCGCTAGTGTAGCGGATCACCAATCAGCCTTCAAAGTTTATGATTTTGGGCATTTCTCATGCAGAAACCATCACCAAATCCTTAAAAAGTGTTGTTTTATCATTGAAAATGGGGAAAATAACAGCATAACATGATGTATAGATAAATAAGGTTATTTTAGTGCATTAAAATAGATTTTTAAAAATTTATCATTCCCAGCATGTTTTGGCCATTTTCTCTTAAACACGATTTGCGACGAGTGACTGGTTTGGCTTGTCTTTGCCACATATTACTTAATCTAATTGAGTACGACAGTGTTTGTTTGATATTGTATTTAAGGTGTTTCATATGAAGCTTGCATATAATTTTAAAATGTTGAAAATATGCAGATTTTTAAAATTATAATTTTTTTTTGCCAACCAATTAATTTTCTGCTTCTTTATTATATTTTTTTCATATTTTTGGCTCTCTATTTAATAAAATAAATATAATAAAACATAAATTTTTGAATTATATTTTCTTTCTACCTCAAACCCCTGCATCTTATCAAGATTAATATGCAAGCAATTTACTTAATACTGACCTCTGGATTTTTTAATGACCAGCAACAAACTAGGCCACCTTTCTGGTCAGAGAATCCAAACTGACCGTAGCCTGCAGCTAGCAAATCCTAAAAATAATAATTTAAAAAAATCCATTAATAAATTAAATATCTCAGGTGCATTACAAATTATACTAAATACAGCAACACCATCAACAATAATAATAATAATTATAACAATAACAATAATAACAAAAGCAAAAATAATATATAAATAAAAAATATAATTAAGAACTTTATGTTATAAATAAATTAACTAGACACTTGGAATACATTGCTAAATAAGAAACAAACTTGATAATTAACACACTTTATGAATAAATAAATAAATAAATTAGATACATAGTACAGTATTGTTGAATAAGAAACAATACTCACATTATAATTAACACACTATTATTAGTTATTGATAGGTGAAGCATACTCACATGATTAACCTTATTCCATGAGACACAGCTGACATTACGACCCTTTGTGAGATTACATGAGAATGCCCACAGACGGTCAAGATTTGGACCAAGTTGAGTAAGATGCATATTGTTTGCTGACCCCTCTTCTGCAGATGGTTCTCGATGCGTATCTAATAATTTATATAAATTCAAACTTTGGTTATCATTACCATGATAACAATGAATTCATGTTACATTAAAATGAATTGATGTTAAAAACACATACCAACAATGATAGGGAGCCCTCTATATGCTGCTTGCTTTGGCTGAAAGATGTTGAGAGTGATTACACGCTCCATAACAAACAAATTTGACTTCAGTGATTCTGACTAAAAGAAGAGAACAAAATTTTGTAGTTCATTAACATGAGGGCATTCAGATGACTGTTGAGGAATGATGTCATAGCTTAATGATGTCATAGCTTAAGTTTAGATAGTAAAATAATGTTTTGGGACTAATTATATGACACCAAAACCAGAAAAATCCTCTTATTTCATCCCTGATTTTAGAGCAAAAATTACATGAGCCAAGAAATAATGTCAATAATTTATTTTTTACTTGAAGTATAATTTGTGCATCCTCCGTTCTGTTTGTTTTCTCCCTCAGTGATGAGCCTTTGCTGTGTTCTGAAACATCTGCTGTTGATTCAGCAATTGAAGCCAGCATACTTGTTTTGCTCCCTGAAAGTAAAGACAATGTAATTACAACGCTATTTATAGGATACACTGCCAGAATTTTTAGTTTGATCGGATGATCGTGTAAAGGTCCACTAGTTGAATGCAGGACCTTACATGGGTGAATATATTTGATTTTTACATTGAGGCATCTGTGCCAAATTGACTTGGTCTGAACATATTGAAAAATTAACTGGTAACATCTCTAAACGCATTGGTGTTAT